TGTAACGAGCTGTTATTTGTGTTCCTATCAAATCAAAACAGTCTGGTTATTCTCCTCTGACCTGAACATTTTTACCCAAGAACTGACACTATTTTCTATTTTTTTAGACCGTTATCGGTGAAGCGATGGTTGTGTGGGACAAGCCCACCCAGAAATGCTCAGACCAACAACAATGCCACATTTAACATCACTTCACTCACCTTGTTTCTTCATTCTGAGGATCATTTTGAACTTCAGCAGGTAATCTTGACCATGTCTACATGTCTAAATGAATTGATTTGCTGTCACGTGATTGGCTGATTACATATTTTACTAACAAGGAGCTGAGCAGGTGAACCTAATGATGCAGTCGGTTAGTGTACATTTAATTTCTACAGCTAATGTGACGGGTCTGGCTTAATTAAGCACTTTTATGAGCTGACTTTTCACTAATATAACAATTAATATGTATATAATTCATCTGAATAAACTTTGTAACATTTACAACTCAATTTTTATTCCTTTTATTCACTTGTTGTATTCAATGTTTTCTGTTTTCAACTCCCTACGCTGTATTGCTCTTTGTCATCACTGGATGGCGCTGTTGTTTTTGCTGTTGCTTCAGCTGTAAATATTTGCCCAACATTTCAATAAAGTTTTCTGAATATGTCAGCAGTAATAGTGACAACATATGAAAATCCAGACAGACATTTCACATCAGTTTTTATACTTTTATTTTATTTATAACACTTGTCATTTTATCTTCTTACAGAGGGGGCATGATGGGAAACAGACATCGACAGCATGGAAGGCAGTGGCCGGCCACTAACCGATAACCTGCAATCAATCAATACTCAATCAATAATAACAATATACTTCTAAGTACAACATGAAGGAGAAGAATACACGACGGTGCTGCTGTTACACCAGAGGTGTGGGAACGTCAGCCATTAACAGTCCACAGCACAAACGCCCCTGTGATCACATCAGAACTGCCCCAAAGAAAACAAAAAAATTAAAAGAATAATAATAAAAAGAGCAATAAAAGCAGTAATAACACCTTTGGAATAAAATAACAAATAAATATAAAGCTGCAGACTGAAAGGCTAAATACTGACACCCATCTGAATTGGCACAAAGAAGAGTTCAGAAGCTGTAAGGCAAAAATCAGAACTAGAGGAGTTTTTACACAGAAGCCAGTTTCTCTTCTTTGGACAGAATAACTGATCCTAGACCAGCACCAGCATTTCACTGCTCTGAAACTACAAACCGCATCAGGGGCTGAGGCGGATGCAAATATTTCTTTAAACTGCTTCAAAAACTAAAATATTTTAGTACCCAAAAAAGTACCCATTGTTTTTAAACTGCAGTTCCTCACCTGGCCACTTGAGGCGGCCTACAACAGTGAGTCTCCCATGTTAAAATGTCTGAGTGTACAGCAGAAACAAACATGTTTACGCCCTGGTCCACAACATGGGTTTGGTCTCTGTGGCTAATTTAAACCTTTATAAAAACTGTAGTGGGGTGAACTTAGTTATACTTAAGTTGTCAGTATTAGAGGCGTCCCTACTTTGATTGGCAGAAGAATCTCTACAAAGACGTTACAGCCAACAAATTCAAATCCAATGAGTGAACCAAATTGACAGTTTTCATGTAATAAAATTATCTTATACATATTATGACTTGTTTTTTAAGTGAAATTGTACTACTTTAATTTGCTATTTAGCATTAATTATCCAGTATCTATGGATTCCACACAAACCAATGGCTAACTTCATGGTGGCTATGTCCATCTTTATATACTGTTGTCAGAACCAGTGAGGAACAGTTTAATCCAGTCTGCAATGATCTCTGGCAACAGAAAAGATTCAGTAAAACTCAAACAAAAAGAAGCAACTTAAGCGTTGACCACGCAACACATTTTTCACCACATCAAAACAGTTGATGACGATGGGAGCTATATAAGGCTGAGTTACTGGCCATTTCCTTCCATTATCACTGCTTTGCATGCCAAAAACACGCTAAAAAACACACTGTAGCAACCAGAGCCACGTGCAGACTGAGCACCAGATAGCGAGGCGGGGAGGTAGAAGCTAAAGAAAAACTTCCACATTTTGAGAGGAAAGTTTGTGTAACGCAGAATCACGAAACGCTTCCCAGAGATTCTGCTCTGGTTAGCATGTAGCTTAGCACAAACTGTGGAAGCAAAGGGGAACTGTTAGCTTAGCTTTTCCAACCTATTCATTTGCATTTTACATTAAGAGAAAGCAGCTGCGTGTCATTAGCTCGATAACTAACACAAGTTTCATGATTTTGACTGATTTTTGATGAGTAGCTTGGCCTTTAAACTGTGACGGTCCAGCAGAAAGTGAAAGGAGGAGCAGGAACAAGCACATCTTTGGTATTTTAGCTTTATCAGCGACCACCAATAACTGATTAACAGTCTGTTAACGAGGCAAAGCAGCTGCATGCAGCCTGTTGCATTTACTCTTCAACTTCTTTTAACTTTCTTCACTTGTATTTCTTCCTGTCTAATTTTACAACTTCCACCATCTTGAGCAGAATTTTGATCAATTCTGACAGAAAACTTTAGAAAGCTGTCCTGGAAAAGCGTCGTCTTTTAAACTCCGCTCAAAGATAACCACCACATCGATCGACATACTACACTCCTCTCTACCAGCCATTTTATAAGTTTATCCACTGCCAAACCAAAAAGAAAGTCACTATCTAGAGTTCAATAAGCAAATGGGCAAGAGCCATCCTCTGGATAATTAGTCCAGTGATTAATATGAGTAGCTTCTTATTTTTTAAAAACTGTGTCAGAAGACGTATCCTGGGTCATGGAAAACACGTTACTTTCTTACTAGAAGGTCAAATTATTGCTTCAAGCAAAGGAGATACTGAAAATCATAGAACTGGGTTAAGAATTATCCAGAAAGTGTTGAACCATCATCTTTAAAAAAGATACGTGGTCTGAAAAATGTGTTGAACGATTGGGATCGGCTGTCACTTTCAACGTTTGGTGAACGTGTAAAAAAAATCAATTTCCACACGCAGTGATTGGGACAAAACATCT